CTGCGCTACTCTCCAACAGCTCAGTCCCCAGTCTATTTCTAGAACTGTAAATTCATTATCAGAAGATTCTAAATATTTCATAAAACATTTTTTTAGCCCTAGTCTCATATCATATCATAATTTACAACATTTCAGTCATGATTATTATATTGCTAATTAAAATGAAAAAGCTTTATAAAACTCTACTGAAATATTATACAATATATCATAGAATCGTTTAGGTTGGAAAGGACCTTTAATATCATCAGCCTCACACTGCTAAGTCCACCACTAAACCACGGCCCTAAGCATGTTGAGTTGTGAGATTCATCCCACCATGTTTCTGTGATGGCAACTACATCATCGTTTTCCTGCTGCACTTTCATGACACTGGGGCAGGGGTTCTGATTTAGCAAGTAAATAATCTCTTAAAATACTTCATTTCTATATCTCCCTTGTAGATTTCTGGGCCTAAGACTAAAGCTTCAGGGGGTCTGCTTGTGACCAGACTAGCATAACAAATACAGCATGTATCCCTACCTGGTTTTTTCTGTATGATTTCGTATTCATGGGTCAGGTAAAAAAAAAAAAAGGAAAACAGTAATTGTAGCCCAAATCAAAATTTTTAGATGTTAATTGTAAATTTATACATATATTTTAAAATATATTGCAAGAAAATAAATTAATTGCGATGTTCAACTAAAATAAGAAACTTTATCTTTTTGGGGGAGGGGGGGGAAATAATCTGAGCAATGGACTCTATCAGGCTATGAATTAATTTCCCTCAGGTGTTCGTGGAAGTTTCTTCATTTGAGTATTTTAAACATTGTTCAGAAATACCTTCGAGATCAAGAGTATTTATGTTATTTGGACTAAATTATGTTATTGAAACAGAAATGTGTGTCTGGATACAACCACAAAGTATGTTTTTTTAAAAAGAAACTTTTTCACACCTTTCTTTTACACATGCTACAAAAATCTCAGTCGAGTACTTAAAAAATGAGCATAGTACTCCAACCAGGGCTTCACTGAGCAACTTCACAGTATCTTCTCTCAAGTCTTTTTTTATATATTGTAATAATTCTGGATTGACCTTTGCCATTTTTTACAATAGCATCCCATTGTTAAACACATTGCAAGAATCCATTTGACATATCTTTCTGATTTGACCACGTACCACAGGTTATTCCTTGAGATGCTTTTTCTCACAAGTTCCATGTCCAACTTCCAATAATTTAATTTGTATTTCCCTTGTTTTGCTTCTAAGAATGTCATGTGTGGCCATGTCAAAAATATTACCGAAGTCAAGCTGTATCATATCTACTGCTTCCCCCAACCCACTAGTTAGCTGTCCTGTCAAGGAAAATACTGTAATAGGTTGATGCAACCTATTTTGACAAATCTGTTGCCTGTCCGACATCTGCTCATTATTTACAAGATAATTAAACATTAATTGCTTTACATCATGTTTCATTTTCTTTCTGGGTACTGAAATTAGGCTGAATATCCTCTAATTCTTCCTTCTTTTCCTCTCTGCCTTTATGTAACTAGATATTTTTCTTCTTTTTCTAAATCCCTGGAACTTTAACTGTTATTGTTTTTCATGAGTTCTCAAAGGTGGTTCAGAAATTGCTTTGATTATTTTCTGAAGAACTGCAGGATAATTTTTACTACGGTCTGTTAACTTGAAGGCATATTTAATAGATACATTTCCTTATGTTTATGTAGGTGTTCGCCAAACCGCCTCTTCCTAATTTAGGTCTGTTGCACTTACAAATAATTATATTAAATACCTGACCACCTCTGCTATTTAGGAAATTCTGGACAGACATTTAAGGACCCTAAATATTAAGTTTCTTTGCGTCCTTTTTTGTTGCTATTTTTGCATCTCTAGCTTTACTTGTTTATCACTATGATCCTAAATAATTTTTCTTTTACCCTTTATGCTTACTTGTTTTCATTGTATTTTTAATGATTGCTTTTTGATTTTCAGCCTAAAGACTTTGTTATGCAATCGTATTAGTCTACTACACTTTCAAGTGTTCCATTAATTAAGATAATTTGATATATGCATTTATTAATATTCTTTCCAAAACTTCTAGCTCTTTCAAACTCCTAATTATAACGTTTCCCCTCTGCCTAGCAATGTTTTGTTAATGTTTATGTTTTAAGTCTGTCGTTCCTCTCACTTTTTCCCGTTGTCTCCAATATTGTCCAAACACTTACTGCACTTACTGAACATTATCTGCATGAAATATACAATACTGGTCTTTCTTCTGTGAACGAGTTTATATATGTGTGTATATTCATAGTCAGGTAAACAACATTTGAATAGATATATCCCTTTAAAGGGCTCCCCTTTAACAGCTGGTGAGTAGCACTTAAATGCCAGAAACAGAAATGTTGAGCTTGTAGTTGATGCCACTTGCTCTTCACAATGGGAACTAGTCTTGAATCACATTTGTGTGTGTGTGTTTTTACTTCAAATCAGGTAGTAAGATTTATAAAAGCTATTTTTCATTAGGAGTAAAATATATTTAAGGACATTCAGTGTAGAAGAAAACGTGGTTTCCTGCTATAGTGGAAGTTTACTTACTGGGAAAGATTATTGCTACTCTTGATGAAAATGACACTGGAAATTCCCCTTTGAATTCATCAGTTGGAATCAGGCTACCTAAAAGTGTATTAAAAATAGGGTCTAGGGAAAAGATGATAAAAAAAGATAATATTATAACAAAAAAGGCAACTGTCTGAGCTAGGAATAATCTTTTCCTGTTCTTCCAATTATAGTGCCAAAATAGTAAAGCTAATGGTACATCATTCGGATACCTAGATGCTAGCAGAAGGGAAATAATAAAAATAATTTAACTATAATGAAAAGATGGCTATCTATAAATCTTAAGCTTGACCCAAGTTCCTTAAATTTATAAGAATTAATCCCAATGGATTTTGATTCCAGGTTTCTAATGAAGCATTGATTCTGTTTGTGCGTAGTGTATGAGACCCCAGTCCTCCCGTATTAATGATAAAATATTGAAGAACAGGGATAATTAAGGACAGGAGTATAGGTGCATTATAATTAGTGGGACCTGATGGTCATGTTCCTGTTTGTAGGATTTGGGTTCAAGTTGTTAGAGAACTGACTTGTGGAACATTTGTCTTTCTCCATATGTGATATGCAGAAAGCGATTATACCTTCAGAGGAATACTGTATAAAAATTGAAGAAGAGCCTCTTGTTGCTTCAAGGAATGCCTTTGAACTATTTATATAAGTAAATAATTGCCTTAAGATATATATTTTAAAAGCTCATACCGCAGTTTATAATACCATTAGCTACTATCTATGGCTATTTGTTGTGTTATATGCATGATGATAGTGAAGAAAGAAAATGTTCATTTATGTGCCTTCACAAAAGTAATTTCCTAGATTTTGCATTTTGCCACTTATACAATTATTATTATCCAATATGAGCTAGACTGCGGTTGGTGGTCTGAATTAGTAGGCATAATGGCTACATTTTGCTTTGATCATTTTGTGTAAATATGTACTGTGTTCATTCCAAGTTGTAAAATTTTTAAATGCAGTTTAATGATAGCTCGGATATCTTGCAGTCTTTCAAAAGTTAGTAAATCACACTTTTTAAAGGAAGTTTTACATTCTTTGTTGTGCAACTGGAGGAGAGAATATGAAGATCTCTATTTTCATGCTGTCAGAAAATGTGCCAGAGCTCTTGCATGTATAGAGTTGGTACAAACCCACACCATGAGCCTTCCTGGGTCTTGAAATTGTAGCAACACTATGCACTGTGTCTACTGGAAAGTATTTATGCCCAAGGGTAGGGGAAAGATGTTCATGAAAGAAGGTGTCTAATCTTACTGCCTTTCATTTTGTTTAATCTAGTTATGCCACGTTTTGCTGAACAAGTTGAGGTTGCCATTGAAGCTTTGAGCGCGAATGTCCCACAGCCATTTGAAGAGAATGAGTTCATAGATGCCTCCCGCTTGGTTTATGATGGAGTTCGTGACATCAGGAAAGCTGTTCTGATGATAAGGGTATGTAAGGCACCTGGGAAATAAACGTTGGGACTTACAGGAAAGTGTCATATCGGATGAGAGGAATATAAAAGTTTCTTGGAATGAACTTTATTTCATAATAAGCCAGAAAAGCCTGACATTGAAACGAGCATGAAACAGAAGTATGTGCTGCCAAAAAGAATTTGTAAGTAAAGAGATGAGAGTATTTTAGGAGATGAACCACAATTAATTTATCACCTAGGAGAAGATTTGATCACAACTGCCAATAACAAAACTTCATTACTGTTTCCGTAGTAATACAATTAATTTGCTAAGATCATCAAAGTTTGTGTAGATTTTTTGTTGTTCTTTTTCCTAATGTACGTGTGCTGCCTAGGATATGAGTTAAGTCTGGTTAAAAATCTAAACGAATAAATAAAGTATCTTGCTGCTCCAGTGAGTCTCTGCAGGGATAGTTTTGAATGTTTACTGAGGTAAAGAATGTGTCATTTCAGCGTTGACTAACCAGTTGATTCAATTTGCTTAGGCATCTTTAAAAAACAAACATAATTATTGTGAGAGTAGTTGTGTGTCTTACTTTTCAGTGTAGTCTACAATCAAAGATTTAAAAAAAAAAAAGACAAACCAATCCTGGTTTGGACATTTCTTCAGCAATTGAAACTCTTATTTGAAACTCAAATTGCCTTGAATCTGCCACGTACAAATAAAGCTACAGTGAAAATCAAAGACAAAACTTACAAAGCAAACAACAGTGCTAAACCAGCAACTCATCCCTTTGAGCAACCAGGTAACATACACTTGTGGTTGTGAGTGTGTTATGGCACTGATGGCAGTTGGAGCACTCCAAAATAGCTTCATTTTAGTCATCTGTCACCATGTATTAACATTTACAGAAAAAGGTTCTGACAGGCTTAATTTTGTAACTGTGAAACATAAATTCCATTCCTGTACCCAGTGCTAATCTCAGGTAGCTTGAACTATCATCATGACTGATGATGGGGGCAAACCCATCCTGTTTGCTGGGTGTGCAACATTGGGGTATGTACAGCTCCTCTGGACTGGGATGGAAACAAAAGATCTGCATGGTAGAGGATCTCCGTTTTTCCTTTGATTGTCCAGTGCCTTAGTCTGTAACAGCAGTTTCTGAACTTCTTTTAGGACAAGAGCCGCTTCTAAGCACATTTTCATGTTTTATAGTTTCTCATGAGTTGTTTTAAATTGCTTCATGAGGCGCAATCGTCGGGTGGGATCTGCTATAGAGCCACGCTTTCCCATCCCCTACACCGAGGTCCGGCATCCAGCACCCCCCTGTACATCAGAGTTGCCCCAGAGAGGTTGCCATGAGGCTGTCCATACTGAGGGAGATGTTTCTGCTAAGCAGAGAGCACCATTTTAAATTCTGGAGGCACTTTCACTTATTTCATTGCTGTCTTACTGTTATGTTAAGACTAACTGCTAGGTTGGAAAGCTGATCAGCACGCAGGCTTCGCAATCTCCTTAGAAACATCCCAGGTTACTTTTGCAATTGTATCACTACTACTTTCTGCTCCTTGTATGATATGAGTTAATGAATTCTGCTTACCCAGATTAGGAAGATGTATCTTTGCATTCAGACAATTAACTTATTTACGGAGCTAAATGGAGTACTCCTTACCCAGGCAGAGAACTAAAGCACATAAATGGACTCATTATCCTTGTGACTTAGCTGGGAAAATCCACATCTATAAACTTACACAGACCAGAGTTTGCTGAATCAGAACCTTATTTTCCATAGAAAACAAAATTAGTTTCAGTTAGAGACACTCTTTAGCATTCCCATCCGATCTTCTCACATTGAAATGGAATGTATAATTAAAGGGTGAGGCATTAAGCTATAAAAGGCAGTCTATGAATATTTTTATCTAATTATCTGTCAAATCTCATGCACCCCTTTAATTCAGGCTGTAAAACTTCTTGCAGAATTATAGAAAAAAAAACCTTGCAAACTTTTTAGAGCATCTGACACAAACAGTTATTTTCGGGCAGTAATTGTTCATGTGCATGCCGTGAAAGATTGAATTTATCTGAGATTATTCCCTCATTCCATAAAGGAAATAAAGCCACTTTTTAAATTAATTTTTTTTTGTATTATTACTTCTAATAAACTGAAGGAATGGGGGATAATCTCTGTTCTCCTCTTTTCCCTTGAAAAGGGGAGATTTTATTGTCCCTTTGGAGAGAAAGGAGATTCATTTTTGCATTGAGGACTATTATTATGATCTATACAGAAGAAAAAATCTCTTTCGCAACTTAAGAAGTAGTATAAATAAATTTAGGAGTATAATTATAGAACCTAAAAGTAAGATAGAAAATAATAACTTAGTTCCAACATCTTTTCTATTACCCCATAGGGATCAAATTACACATTGTTTTTTTTGTAGCTACTTAGGAAATTCCCTCAGTTATTAGACAGAAACTCTCTCTCCAGTTAGGAAGAATCATGATGGCACCTTTTCTAATTCTTACGTGTCTTGGAGGCCAGTCTTCTCTTTTCACACGTGGCCTTTGCTATTGGCAACCTCGCTGTTAGTTGCATCTACGTTAGCCTTAGTGTTACACTGGTTTGGATCAGGAGTGCACTACTGGAGCCAGTCTCCAGTTGTTCCCTCTTGCCATGTTTTGGTTCGTGTTACAGAGTAGTCTTAGAGCATATAGACTCGATTCTTTGGGGTGATCATGGAAAAAGCACACTAGGAGCATTTTAACTGCACTTCTGCTCTATCATTAAGGGACTTGCAGTCCATGGGAGAAGACTACAGTGAGTCTGAATAAAAATGAAATGAGGGTAGTGCAAATGTGGGGTCCTTAGCCCCAGCCATTTGGAGGTATGAATGCCCTTCTACTTTTCCACACTTGGCAATGTAGCTTAGCCGTGATCACCTATGGGGTAGCCACTGTGGTGAAATCCAAAGTGGTACTACCTCTCAGAGCCTCTGGAAAACTAGGCTTGGTGCAGAATCCCATCATCTTTTTAAACAGCCTATCTCCGAAGGGTGTTATGGGGTCCATTGTCTACATTGACTGCCTGTTGCTTCTCAGGTTGAATGTAAAGTGTGGGATTTCACTGTAAATCATTAAACAGCTGAAGACATGCTGTGAGAGAAGTTCTCTGACTTTGCCACCCAGATACTGCTTGAAGCTCCTGAGTCACTCAGGCTGCAACTGCCTTTGTACAAAAACAAATGTCCAGAGTAGCGTGCAGTTGCGTAGAGAAGTGTGTTATAAAGGCTTTTTTTTCTCCTTAGCTTTTAGAATTAGAGGCTATTTTCATGTAAAAAATAGAGGAATGTCTTTTTTTTTTTTTCCTCCCATTACAAGGGTAGCTTGACTTGGTGTTTACAGTGTTGAAATTCTTATAATTGCATCTTAAAAGTTTTAAGTGCATACAGCACTATAGCATAGTGGGGTTTCTATCTTCATCAAGTATATTTGAATTGGTGAAATATTAAACAAATAGCATTTATAAATCTGCATATATATGCCATTTTACAACTTATATATGCATAATTCACTTTTTTATACTGCAGTTGCAAAAGATAAGACAAAATGATATTAATGGAAGATATTTTGTTTATAGCAAAATCTTCAATCTAGCAGCCAGAGAGATATTTAAAAAAAAAAAAAAAAAAGACTGGAAGCTGAAAGTCACCAAATTCATATTAGAAATAAAGCATACATCTTAAAAAAGAAAGTATTTATTTACTGGGTTATTTATGTGGCACTGTGAAAGATTCTTTTTCAGTGTGAGAATTCATCTGAATTAGATGAATGAAGAATATGCTCTATATGTAGTAGAGATACTGTATTTGAAAAGAAATTAATCTTGGGAAGTTTTATGGCCTGTGCTGCAGAACGGACGGACTAAAAATAATTAAAATGGTCGGTTTTTCTGCTGAAATTAATGACTTCACAAAATCTATTCGTTTTGAAAATTACTCTAGCTGCTCCTGCCACTGGTGGTTGTCAGAGTTTTGTTTGGAAGTTACCTCAAATCTCAAAACTATGTTTGCTGCATCTGTGTGACCACAGGTCCAGGTGTCTGCAAGACTGATTCAGTCCCTCTGTTGTCCAACTCAGATAAATTAAGTTCCAGACTTTGTTGTCTTGGAAACCAGGTTTTAAATGCCAAGGTCCTGTTTAGTTGTGCACAAAAATTAGAGGTTTTATCATATGTTTAGAAGGCACTGCTAAGAGTAAAAATCTTTAAGTCAAGATACTTTAATATAATATTTCTTTTTTATACCTTGGTGTCTAAACAGATCAGAGACTCTATTATATATGGGCTGCAGCTCCAAGAGATCAGATAAAACAAAGCAATGGTGCAAGCATGCAACATGTTTGAAATGGCAGCATACAGAGAAGAGTTAACTACTGTTCTTCATCTTAATGAAAATTATTTTGGGAAGAAAATGAGGTTATTACGTTCATAACAGTTGAAAACCTTAAAAGAGTGAATCTGAAAATTGGCTTTGAATTAGGTCTCACTTGTACAGAGGGGAAATGCATTTTTTGTGCTTGTAGTATATTACTAACAGTTGCATTAACTTGTCCTTTTTTTTCACTATATTTTCCACAAGTTCAACATCTATACCCACTAAGTTTCAATCTTCAAAGACCACAAATTTTAAGATTATGAATGTCAGGCAGTAACAGCAATACATTTTTTCTGAATGTTTCTTTAAGAATAAATCCCTGAAACGTAGAATTTTCAGAATATTTTAGCTTTTCGAGAGGTATCCCAATGTCCTTACTGGTTATGGTTTTGAGATGTAATATTTTGAATATTAAGACCTTACTGTGCTGCAACTCTGACTATGAAAGCCTGGGAAAGGGCTGCGCATTATCTTTTATAGTCTTATCTATACAAGTGGAGACAGAAGAAACTAAGAAAAGGATGCCTGGGGGGGAAAGGGTGCTGGTCTTATGATGACCAGTGCAGCTGGCTTGTTGGCTGGACTTGGAGGATGGGGAAGAGCCAGCTGGTTTATGAAGAAAGGGTTGAAACTCTCCCCTGTCTTCCAGTTCTAGACAGGAAAGCCTGCGCAGATGAAAAGCTGAGCCCTATGTTAGGAAATGCTCCCTTTGGCTCAGGGAGTTGGATGATTCTTACGGCAGCTGGTTTGCTTATGGGACATTTTAAAGTCCCATCCTGCCCTCAGGCAGCTGAGCAGAGGGAATAAAGTGATTAAAGGCGATTGAAAAACAAGACCATTGGACATTATAATGATGGGTACCAATCTTTCTTTTTTTTCCTGTGGCAGTAAAGATAAATTCATGTTTCCATCTAATCTTCATCTCCTGTCTATCCTTCTATAAACACTGTTTGTATATGCATCTCTTCAGAGATGCAGCCTGAGTTTCATTACCATACTGTCATACTTGGTTATTTCTAGCTCCAGCGCTCAGAATCAAAATACATATTTAATTCACATTCTTTAAGCCAAATGAAGATGGCTGTGTTTTACTCTCCCCATCATGTGCACTTCACCATGTAGCTAGCGAAGCAGCTGATTTTCCGTTACAAGCAGTGATGTGCACTTCATGTTGGAAACCAGGCTGTAATATAAATACCGCCAAAAGACTTCTCTACATTATGTTAGAGGGTTTGGACCGGTTCCTAGTGACTGAGCATCTTCAAGACAGAGCTGTAATGACAACTGGCAATGATTAGCACCTCTGCTAGCAAACTTGACGTTGCCTCCAAGCATGAAATGCCAGCATGCATGATTTCCTCTGTAATGGTTGTCCCTCTAGGTTAACACTGAGGCATATGGGTATCCAGTAAGGTGAGGATTTCTCTGCATAGTTACCATGATCTTCTTTTTCTATAACCACTATCATTTGTTGTACCTACAGAAGTTATTCGAGGCCAGATTATTTTACTAGGTGCTGCTATTCAAGCACAAATTCGAAAATAATCTTCCTTCTAAAGACTATTTCTTGTTTTGCACCATTTATACTAAATACAGTACTAAATAGTGATTTCAAGTAGGCTGTCTCTCCATATATACATAGGGAATTTTTTTTGCTCCGAATTTTTTTGCTAGAAGGCAAAAAAACCAAACAAACAGATCCATTAGTTATCTTTTTCTCCCTCCCTCCAATGTTTTAAACAACCTGAAGCCAGCACAAACATAACTAGATTTAATTAATCTGCCCAGAGACCCCTCACACAATTGATAGCCACCACAATGGAGATAATGTGGTTTCAGTTTAGGGCGTGAGGCAAATTCCAGAAGTCTGTATCTGAGCAGAATCACGTGAACCAACAAGATAAGGCAGATTATAAACTTTACCTTTGTTTCAATAGCAGTTGACATTATTTACATTTTCTTTCAAGGGGAAATCTCTTATTTGCTTTGATAACCTTTTCTTCTAGGATGTTACTTTTTCCCAGGTATTTACATTCTCTTTTGAAGATTACATGGAGTTGCCAGTAATGTAATAGTATTAGTGTCCATTTATATATGAAATAACATTGTCTTGAAATACTACATTCTGGTTGTTAGTGTTTCCAAAGGATATTTTCTGAAGGATACATTCCAAAGGAACTGCATTCATCACGTTAACGGAGTTAAGAAAAGTTGCAGCAAGGTAACGATAAATGCCATTTGTAAAGAAAACTACAGTTGAAACAGCTTAATTTTTAAGACAATTCAATTTCAGTTCTTGACTGCTTGGGCAGACAAGTTAATTTAAAAGGAAAAAGGAACAGCATTTCATGGGCAGGTAGTCGATTAAATAAGAGTTTACTGTACGTAGGACTTTGTCTGCATCCTTTATAAGCTTGTCATCTCCTCTCTTTTGCTTTCTCTCCCTGTGGCTCTCTCTAGACCCCAGAAGAGCTAGAGGATGATTCAGACTTTGAGCAGGAAGATTACGACGTTCGCAGCCGAACAAGCGTTCAGACTGAAGATGACCAGCTTATTGCTGGCCAGAGTGCGAGGGTGAGTATGAAACCCACATACTACGTTAAATGCCTGTATAGCTACAAATAAAAAGCTGTGCCTTGGAAAGCAAATGCAGTGATTTCAAATCTTCAGGGTCACATGAGAAAGGATGGGAGTAAGCTGACCTAGGTGTTTAAAGTATTTTCATGTCTCACCTATTTGAAAAGCACTGGCTTTGTTGAATGATCATCTTAGGCTTAGGTGATGCCTTGTATCAGCCGTTTGCTCCAGCTATTGCTGTAGGAGAAGGTCTTGCAGGTTTGGAATGTGCTGAAACTGTGGGAGTAGTCAGCAAATTAGAAAAAAAAAAAAGAAAATCCCATCAGAGCACCATGTGCTGTATCTAGAGAAATCTTACATTAGTCATGTTTCCCAGTGTGCAAACCTGTCAAGAAGATCTGTTTAAGCTACCAAGTAGTCCCTGTAATTTAATTGTAATTGAAGGCATTTGTTACTGAGTCAATGTAATTTTACCAGGGTAATTACATCATGATAAACTTGAGTCATTGTGATTTGTGACCTTAGCTTGTGCATGGGGATTGCAAATTAAGCTGATGAGTGCTTCAGGGGTCATAGGTGCTGGAAAAGTGGAGTTTGTTAACACTCAGGATTATGCCACCCTCTGATGAATGTTTACCCTTCACTGAATAGACAGCTCAGCTCAGGCTATTAAAAACAAAAAATCAGAAAGGAATTTTGGGGGCAAACGACATCATTTACCCTCATCAAGTTTGCAGACAACACCAAGTTGTCTTGGTGAGGTTAACATGCCTGAGGGATGGGATACCATCCAGAGGGTCCGGGACAAGCTCGAGCAGTGGGCCTGTGTGAACCTCATGAGGTTCAACAAGACCAATGCAAGGTGCTGCACCGGGGTTGTGGCAATCCTCGATATCAACACAGGCAGGGGGATGAAGGGGTGGAAAGCAGCCCTGCGGAGAAGGACTTGGGGGCACTGGTGGATGCAAAGCTGGACATGAACCAGCCATGTGCGCTCTCACCCAGAAGGCCAACTGCATCCTGGGCTGCATCAAAAGCAGTGTGGCCAGCAATTTGAGGCAGGGGATTCTCCCCCTCTGCTTCGCTCTCGTGAGACCCCCACCTGCAGTGCTGTGTTCAGCACAGTCCTCAGTACAAGAAAGACATGGAACTGCTCGGGCGGGTCCAGAGGAGGGTCACAAAAATGCTCAGGGGGCTGGAGCACCTATGAGGACAGGCTGAGAGAGCTGGGGTTGTTCAGCCTGGAGAAGAGAAGGTTCCAGGGACACCTTGTTGTGGCCTTTCGGTACTTAAAGGGGGCCTGTAAGAAAGATGGGGGCAAACTTTTTAGCAGGGCCTGTTGCATTAGGACAAGAGGTAATGCTTTTAAACTGAGAGAGGGTAGATTTAGGCTAGATATAAGGAAGAAATTTTTTACAGTGAAGGTGGTGAAACACTGGCACAGGCTGCCCAGAGAGGTGGTAGATGCCCCATCCCTGGGAACATTCCAGGTCAGGTTGGACGGGGCTCTGAGCAACCTAACCCAGCTAAAGATGTCCCTGCTCACTGCAGGGGGGTTGGACTAGGTGACCTTTAAAGGTCCCTTCCAACCCAAACCATTCTATGATTCTGTCTTTATGAAAATATATTTGACTAGAAAGGGAATTTTTTTAAAAAAAAGCCTTAAAATTTTCTAGCAGAGAACCAGTGGAGGCTGGGAATTTCCTGAATTATTTTCATGGCTCTGGTTTCTTCTGCTACGTGCTAAAAGTGAAGTAATGGACAAAATGAGAAGCATCCTACGCACACACACTCAAACACTGTAGCAAAAGCTGATAAATGGAACAGTGACTTCTCACCTTGAATTCTGAAGAGGATTTGTAGGGCTGAGAACCTGAAGACCAAAAGGCAACAATACTTTGAAAGATCAGCTCAGAGGACCAGAAAGGAGGAGTTTTAAGCTGCTGTAGGAAGACTCACCGTATGTTAGGACTTGACACAAACATTTTACACCCTGAAAAGAAACAGTAGAATAATGCAAACCTCAATGAAGCTTACTTAGAGGCATGGGAAGAATGTAAGACATAGATACCGTGGAATAAGCAGAAGTTTCTTTTTTTCTTAAATAATTTCCTTGTATATTGAATACAGATGGTAAATAAACCATATCATGTATCAGAAATGCTGGCTTTCTGCTGCTACAACCCAAGGACAAAAAATTTCATCCTTGCATATCAAGGACATATCATATATTTTAGTATCACCACGAGAACAGCAGAGGGATTGTAGGTCCCATCCCAGAAAGCTGGTGACCAGGAATGGGCACTGAAAACCCTGCAGTCAGGAGAACTGCTGAATGATGCCTGGGTACCTTACTGTAATAATGATGATAGATCTATGTTCTGGATGCAGTTGGATAACTTTGGGGCATTTTTATATTTGAAAGATCATAAAGTCCTGTTTGATATATTCACGTAATTGACTATTAAAGTAAGTCTCTGATACAAAAGTATTGAGATACAATACGGTTATTTCACAGTCTTATTATATTTTTTTTGGTTATGTCTAGGATTGGGTAGCATATCATCCTTTCTTGGTCTGAAAACAAAGTAAAGACTGCAGTAATATTTTTACTAAGAATCTAGTTCACCTAGGGACTTAAGAGTCTTAAATTCTATTACATTTATTGCGGTTATTATCACTGCTGCACTTAAAACCTTCTGCTTTGATCAGCTACACACTGTATAAACATAATATATTATAAAGACAGTCCCATTCCTGAATAGCGTAGAATGCAATATGTCACAAGAAGCAACAAACAATGAAAACCTAAAATGAAAACATGCTAAGCAGAAGCCACCCAGTCCACAGTCCTGAGTGATTCACTGGAATGAGTCTGCTAAGCAGAACAGTATCTTATTTGAACCTTTTCTGTAGAAAAGCTGGATTTTTACTTGTGGAATGTAATGGATTTATTTAATATGCTTACTGCATAAAGCTATTAGTATTTCGGCAGAAAGACTTGTGTTGGTCTTCAGTAGAACTAAAACATAAATATATATGAGCTGCATTTGCTATAGGATATAGCTTCTTTGAAAACACATCAGCAGCTGGAATGGAAATGTTAAAACAGTGTATGCCAGTTTAAAGGGTGTGCAGGTGAAGCTGCCCGCAGAGAGAAACCACATGCAAGACATACAGATCGGCTTTCCAAATTTTACTACTCCTGTTGTATTCTCTCAGTCTCAGTTAATTCATCTGTTCTAGTGGTTTATGTGTATTTTATATATTTATTTATTTATTAGCTTGACTTACACTGCATTTTTCTGTGGAAAGACTAATATGCTAACATTTGAAACTGCTGAGTTGCATTGATAAGGCCTAATTAAAACTCATGTGTTGAATTTTAATTTGATTAACTTGCAAATATCTCATTTTCTGATATACTGTTTATAACCTTTTTTAATTTCAGTTTTGGAAAAGGTCAATCATGAATTTTTAAAAGCCAAGAGCATTTTAAGAATATGTAGAGAAAGACTTCAGCTGATTGAAAGTGACATAAACAAGAAAAAATGTAATGACACTTAAATATGTGTCACACCCCATTAAGTGCATAATGCAGTCTTCAGAACCCCTAAAGCCAAATAGTATCTCAAATTGGAAATCATTATCGGAAATGTCCATTTGATCTTCAAAAGTAATTACTATAATTTTGTAGGGTTCTTTTTCTGTTTTTGGGGGAGGCGGGGAACTTTTGCTTTGTTAATAATGTCGAGGCAGATTAGTATCAACCTGTTCAGAGTCTTTTTGCGTATCTTCCAAGGGACAATTAGACCACTAAATATTACTGAAAGGTACGTTCATTTCAATTCACTTCAAGTGTATTATCTTGCATGTCATAGCTTATCTTAGTGTTGGGTTAAGCAGAAAACCGCTGTTTCTGACAGAAAATGAGACTGGGGGAGATACTGGCAATTCAGTCTGCCTTTTCCCATGGATTTCGTTCATTTAGTCCTTCCTAAAAGTTAAGACTTAACAGGAATTTTCTTAAATCTTCCTGTATAGAGTGATGAATAAGCAAAGCATTTGACACTGTCCCACATGACATTCTTGTCTCTAAATTAGAGACACATGGATTTGACGGGTAGACCACTTGGTGGATAAGAAGTTGGGTGGATGGTTCCACTCAGAGTCATGGTCAACAGCTTGATGTCCGAGTGGAGACCGGTGACAAGTGGCTCTCCTCAAGGGTCGATATTGGGACCTGTTTAACGTCTGTCAGCGACATGGACAGTGGGATTGAGTTCACCCTCAGCAAGTTTGCTGATGACACCAAGCTAAGTGGTGTGATTGACACGCAGGAGGGAAGGGAGGCCATCCAGAGGGACTCTGACAGGCTGTAGAGGTGGGCCCGGGTGAAGCTCATGGAGTTCAACAACAGCAAGGTCCTACACCTGAGCTGAGGCAATCCCAAGCACAAAGTTATACTGGGTGATGAGTGGATCGAGAGCAGCCCTGCGGAGAAGGACTTGGGGGGGCTGGTGGATGAAATGAATGTGAGCCAGCAATGTGTGCTCACAGCCCAGAAAGCCAACCATATCCTGGGCTGTTTTAAAAGAAGTGTGGCCAGCAGGATGAGGGAGGTAATTCTGGCCCTCAGCTCTGCTCTCATGAGACCCCACCTGGAGTGCTGCATTCAGCTCTGGGGCCCCCAGCATAAGAAGGACATGAGCCTGCTGGAGCGATAGCAGAGGAGGGCCATGAAGATGATCAGGGGGCTGGAGCACCTCTCCTGGGAACACAGGCTGAGAGATCTGGGGTTGTTCAACCTGGAGAAGAGAAGGCTCCAGGGAAACCATATAGCAGCCTTTCAATACTTAAAGGGGACCTACATGACAGCTGGAGAGGGACTTTTTACAAGGGCATGTAGTGATAGGATAAGGGATAATGCCTTTAAACTGAAAGAGGTTAGATTTAGTTTAGAAGTCAGAAAGTTCTTCACTGTGAGGGTGGTGAGACACCAGAAGAGGTTGCCCAGAGAAGCTGTGGCTGGCGCCCCCCTCAATGTTCAAGGCCAGGCTGGACGGGGCTTTGAGCGACCTGGTCTAGTGGAAGGTGGCCCTGTCCATGGCAGGGGGGTTGGAACTAGATGATCTTTAAGGTCCCTTCCAAGTCAAACCATTCTATGATTCTATATCATCGCATCACATACATAGTTTTTAAATTCCTGAAGGTGTAACACAAGCTATAAACATCCTGTGAATTTGGTTTTCCCCATCCTAGCAGAAATCTAATGTCTACTGGGTTTTGTTTGGCATCTTCAACTCCCATAAAAAGAAATTAAAAGTTGGGCACGCTGTTTGAACCACTGGAAATGTATATATTCTAGTTCTACCTTCCTTTTTTCATGCCCAACTTCTCCCATTTTTTCTCCAGGCTATCATGGCTCAGCTTCCCCAGGAGGAGAAGGCTAAGATTGCCGAGCAGGTAGAGATATTCCACCAAGAAAAGAGCAAACTGGATGCAGAGGTGGCCAAGTGGGATGACAGTGGTAACGACATCATTGTATTGGCAAAGCAGATGTGCATGATTATGATGGAAATGACAGACTTTACTAGGTAAGGACAAAATAACTTGTGCCGAGGACTTCTTCAGACATCCCACATCTTTCTTTTTTTGTTGCAATATATAGTAGCTCTTCGAGATGATGTGCTATATTTTGGGGGATGCAAAGTCAGGTAACACAGGTCATACATAACAGGATGGGTTGTACAGTTCTCTACACCACTGCTGTGGATATTTCTCGAAATGGGTTTAATCACATGAAGTTTTTGTCCTATTTGCAAATTGGTTTTATTTGCACATCATCTTGAATTTCAGCAGCAAAGATAGTCTGTGACCTTACAGACACTCAACTGACATTTTGTTTAGTACCCATCTAAATGCATGTGCCTCTCTGAACTTTCAGCATTTCAACACAATTTGTGTCAATCAAAAATAATGGCAAATCTATTTATATCATTTTGAACACTGAACTTCTTTCCCAAAAAAATCACAAATGAAATGAAACTGTTTTGATCTAATACTTTATTGGAGCCTGTCAGTAATGATTTTTTTTTGCTTTCATCTCTTTTTTTCTATTGATGTAATCTTCTTTTCTAATTGCAAACCATCAAAAGGCCATTCATTAATGATACCATATAAACAGAATTATTTTGTTTAAACATAGTCATATTGTTGATGACACTAGGGAGAACATTTTACAAGATTCTTTAAATTACAGATCACAATAATAAATTAAAGGGGTTTCAGTGTTTATTTTTAATGGGAGTTCAGAAGTTTAAATGGCAGTTATCAAAATGTGATTAGACAAAACTGGACAAAAATCTTAATGTTTTTCTTTGGCATTAAAATAAAACATCCATTTATCCATCTCACTGAGATGCTCAAATAGATTTTCTTAATCTCCAGCTCATCACATGACTTGTGTTTGGAGCCTTCAACCCATTTTGGAGGAGACACTCTCTGCATTGACAATATAGGGTTTGCACATATCTTACATGGAGAGAGAGAGAGAGAGAAGTGTGCGTATGTGTATAAATACCATTAATTTGCAAATAACTTGCCTATTTGCACTTGCGTAGTTAGTTAATTAGTAATAGGCAACAGCAAACATTTTTATCCATTTTAAATTTAATTGTGCATATAGAAAGTTTACTTACTTTAATAGATTACCACTTTACTTCTTTCCAAGTAATTATTCTCTCAGTTTATTTGTTTTTCTCTGGGTTTGTGCTTTTACAACTATCCTTTTTGCAGTAACTTACCACTCCTCTATACCAAGTGACAGTACAGAACGTGGTATTTTAGAGGAATCTTAATTACTTTTGTATTTGTGTTGTCTTTGAGTGTCAATCCTTCTGCCCATAACCAGACCCAAAAACTGTCAAAACAGTGCCATCGTTTCATGGAAGGAAGGCATAATATTCTAAAGCAGCAGCCCCGAATATGAACACTTTCTGCAACCTCCCAGACAGCCTTTGATACATTGACCATCAAATTGAAAGTTTTGGAATTACATTTTCTACCATCAAAATGGAACTGATATGAGAATGAGAGAAAACTACTGTCCCATTTGAAGTAAATTAAAAAAAAAAAAATCAAAGTGCACCTCTGTCTACATCAGATTCAACAAAATCTTGTTTAATGTATTCCATTAAAACAGAACAAAGTGTTTCACACCTTTTTGGTTGACTGTAACCTCAGCAGTGTTAAAATAGAATAATTTTTCAAACACATGGACTTTGTCACAGTCAGATCTGCTATGTAATTAATGTAGAAGCATACGAGGTCACAATGAAGGATTTTTGCTACGGTTTAAGTTCAACAAAAGTGTTATACTTGTATTTCAATATCTGTTTAAGGTGGAAATGAAACTATGGAAAGGATATAAAAATGGAAACATTTCAGTATGTTGTTCTTGGCCTTACAGATGAAAAAAAAAAAAAGCAAAAATAATACTCTCTTGTGCTCAGGAAAAATGCCTTCGTTTCTAGTTTAACAAAACCCTAAGTTTGATCATATTATGATTTTCCATCAGTCTTGTCTGAAGCTGTATTTCTCCACACAGTATAAAAAAACAACAAAAAAGAAAAATCATCTCGTTTCCAATGGAGCCGTTCCCAGGAGTGGTAGCAAATTTATTGTTACAAACGGGATTAAAGTTTTGAGTCTGAAGTAAACTCAGAAAAGTCTGCAGTGACTTTTTATTTTATGTTTATATACATTTTGATAACTTCAGTAACTAAAATCAAAGTTTTGTGCATCATCTTAAGAGTATAGTGAAAGATCACTCTTAAATCTAATTATACGTGTTTTAAGTGCAACAATTAAGTTTAGCATAATGATTATAGTTCACATATCTTTGTTTTCTTACAAAAATCTACTAAAAAAGGTTTCCTAAAATGGGACATTCTTGTTCTAGACATGACAGGTTTAACATTTAGCACTGGCTTGGAAATAACAGAATTTTGAAATAGTTGTATATTCCCGAAAGAATGTTGACTTCATGAGCACTTAAAAACGCATCTACTATTAAGTATAGCTCATGTGTTTGAAGGCACCATCAGACTAAATTGCTAGTGAGGCATTTTGTAAGAGAGAGGAAATATAGCAGACCAAATTCTTAATAAAGTAGTTAAAAGGTGAAATTGTAATAAATTAAGAAGTCATTTGTGTTACTATTTTAAAATCAAACACTAAACAGGGTCACTAAAACTGTTGCCTTTCATGATTTATTTAGATTGTGCATAATTTTATTTTATTTCACAGAGGTAAAGGCCCCCTGAAGAATACATCAGATGTCATTAATGCAGCCAAGAAGATTGCAGAGGCAGGATCGAGGATGGACAAATTGGCACGGGCGGTAGCTGATCAGGTAGCATCAAAAATAAGCAGAAATATAATGTACCCTCTATCAATGAGTTGCCTTTTGCAGGAAAAGGTTATCTTGGCAGAAAATTACCTGTTGAAAGTCACTGTCTGGATACTGATCTACCCATTGAATATAAGTTGTTTCTTCCGTATCAGTCAGCTTGGGTTTTGCAGTGCAGGAGATCCATAAATGTGTCTCTCTAAACCTCAGAAATGCCTGAATTGTTCCGTAGCCTCACTTCTGGACCCAGGTGATAGTGTTAGAATTAGACTGATATTTTTGCCATCATGAAAGCGGTAAAGACTTGGATGGTCTGTTACCCTTGCAATAGGCCTAGGAATCCTTATATTATTTTCAGCTCGTTCTTCCAGCAATTTCCCTTCATATTGCACCTTTTCAAGATTCCCTGACTCCCTTTCTTCTGCTTTGCATCAGGGTACTGTACTTTCACCTTACAGCTCCCTGCTCTGTGTTCTAGGGTCTGTGTCTTCAGTCCCATTACCAACTTTGTGTCACAACTGCAAAGATGAGCTTGCTGTATTCAGCCCCTTTTCTTTCAAACTGGAGTATCTATACATCTGGAGAACAAGAGGAAGCATCATATTAAAAATCAAGAGCCAAAATTGAAATCCAGGTTCTAGGTAGCTAGTTTTAGATTTAGGCATATTAAACTTGACTATGTTTTCCCTTGTAAATTTCCTATAGTTTCTTTCCTTTCATTGTTGTCAGGAAAAATTTTGCTGCAACTGGGAACTAACTTCCTTGCCTCTAGTCTTTCTCTTCAAAATAAGTATTTCTTTTTCATCTTCAAGTAAGCATTTAATAGTACGCACTATCCTGCCAGAGAATATGGGCCAGTTGCAAGAAACCTGAAGCTGCCCATTTTCCTATAACCTCAGAAATTTTGGGTTTAAGTTTTCTTCATTATCAGCAAGCATTTTTCTTGTATTTTACCCATTACAATCCTTCAAATGTAGCATCTGTTCACTTTAGCATAAGAAAGAAGAAATCCATCTGTCAGCTGATGAAATTCCTAGTCTACAATATTTGCAGAGGTGGAATATTTTAAAGGAAGAAACACAAAGAGACTTGCTTTGCCTAAAGTGCATTGGCTTGAGTCACATTTTAAATTTCAGAAGACTGTAACATGCACACTTTAATAATAAACAGTAAAATCACTCTGAGAATGAAGTGTTTGTTTTAATGCTTGCGCTTTAATGATATTTTACAGAACTTTGGAGACACTCATGCAATATAAACTTTTTATGGACAGTTGCATTTTTAATTACTGTTCCAATGAGAGAGATCTTACATTTTCATTTGCTCCGAGGTACTTGTATTTAAAGCCTTGTCAGCTCTCTAGAAGTATTGCTTTAAAGTTCATTCCTTTCAGTTCATAGACTTCAAGAGTAGTGTAAATATTTCTGTATTAAATTGTCACCGGTAGGGAGAAGATGTCTCTTAGGGATTCATGCCTGAAAGATGTGGCAACTGTCTGCAAAAGAGAGGCGTTATAGCATTGCCATAAATATAGAGCAGATTAAACCTAACGGCCACAATGAACCTCCAGCTTTGTTTATCGTTAGTTTTAAAGGGAGAGAAAAAAGCAAAGTGGCTGCTCTTAGGGTTATAGACGACAGTACATGCAACTACTCCACTGCAAACATACTCCTTGCCTGCATTAGCTGTTGGGCTGGAGAAGTCGTCTCAAGTCAGAGGTTGTGATGCTGTTGACTCGTGTGTGTTTAGTTCTGTCAGTTTTTGAAGTGCTCTGATATTATTTTACAAAAATTGAGCCTAAACTTTGGAAGATGTAAGAATTTTTGTTCCCCAAGCTATACATGCAAAGAACATTGTCAGTCAGACTTTGTTGTCTAGCCCCAAAGAGAATTTATTGAAGACATGCTGTTAGCAATGGACCCTTTTAGCAATGTTTCATCAGAGTAAATTGCTGAGGTCTGTTCCTTTGAGGCAAGACTTTGAATATTAACTACAAGAGTGTTGTTTATTATGCTGTTGATAACTGCGAGGGATGATCCAGTTTCTATTAAGAGTCCCAAAGGCTATGAATACATTGTACTTGGACCTTTCCTAGTTATATTGATTACAAAACCTTCACTGAGTCTACCACATTTGACCTAATGTAATTTGTATCAAAACACACTTGAGAGGCACAGAATCCGAAATGGTACCGGACTGTAGATAGCCTCCCCTCTAGTATGAAGAGGCATCCCTTAGACATGCAGAGGGATCAGGTAATCTCATTGTGTTCTTGAGAAGGGCTGCAATCCTGATGTCGTCTGCTGAGAGGTTGTAATATGTCACTTTTACACTTTAGCAAATAATTTCATTCTGGCACAGATTAAGGTGTTTATGCATTAACAATAAGCTTGCCAAATCTGTCAATACCAAACCCAAGCAGCCTCGCCTCTGCCTCTCGAGTCCTTAGAGGCTCAGGGAAGGGCCTGGCTTCTTCCATGTCTGAAGCACAGCTCTGTCCTCTGAAGGTCTGCACAAGTGCCAGGGAAGCTGGTAAGGCAGTCAGGTGTTGTCATTAGAGTGGATGTAATCAGGCAGAACTGGATTTATCTGGACTTTAACTGGTCCATGTTGTATCTTAACCTGGACGCTCAGCAGGCAAGCTGGAGTTCCAGGTCAAACTTGGTCTTTTGGCTGTTCAGTAGATTCTTCTGTTATGTACAAACTGATACCATAAGTGAACCTCCCCTACAAACATAGCAATCACATTATTTTCGTTAGTAGCTGACAGAGACGTTTCTTCTTTTTACAAAAAGGTATAGTGCATTTTCAGGTTGCAATTCATAAGTCTTGAGTTAATTAAAAGGTGGAGTTTGAATTTTCACATTTCATCAAGTATCTCATGTAAAGACAAAGTGAAATGTATCCACCTAATACACACACATTGCCAATGTCTCCTTTGATTACCTCTCTATAATCATGTAAACTCAGCTACATCTGACCAAATATTTCTTTTTGTCTGTAGTGCCCAGACTCAGCCTGCAAACAGGATCTGCTAGCCTACCTGCAGCGCATTGCCCTCTACTGCCACCAACTCAATATCTGCAGCAAAGTGAAGGCAGAAGTTCAGAACCTGGGTGGAGAACTTATTGTATCAGGGGTAAGCTGGTATTTGTATTTAGCCATTTGTTTCCCATGTAGCACTTGAAAGGGAGCATTTTTGATGGCAATAATGCACAAAACAAAAATACAGTGATTAATAAGCAAGCCTTTTAAAATGTTATCGCCATTATTCCAGACCTTACAATAACTTGCGTAGAGCAATTTGATTTTCCAATTACCCTTTGTTTATACTAACCTTGTAAAATCTTCGTTCTTCCAAAAGAAAAGTAATTTCATAGTCTAGAAAATCATTGCCAAGCTGTGAATATTATAATTATTTGGAGCTTTTGTATATTTGCTCATTATAAATCTTCTTTCCTTTGTTAGTACTGGTAATTTCCTTCCTCTGTGAAGAAGCCAGCTCTGTATGAAGTGCATATTGTTAAGATGGTGATGACTAATGGGATTTCGTTCACTCAGGTTCCAATGCACACTAGGTTTAGCAAAAACTCTGGAAGGCCAGCAAAACATTTTAATTTTTGATGCACGTGCTGTTTTCAAATACTATTGGCAAGCACAATGATTATATAGTCTAATTCCCATCCATTATTTCAGTTATTTTCAATGAACACTACAAACTTTTTACACACAATCTTTTTAAGAAATAAAGACAGGAATGTGCAGCAGCAGTAATATTATAAACAAGGAGGTTTCTACATTTTTAAACTATTTTTTTCTTTCGTTCTCCTAATGTTGCACCCTGTGCCTCTGGGAGATTACTAGAACCAAGCAGCAGCAGTTGCTGCTCTTCATGATTTTCTTGTTTTGTTCTTTTAACTAATCACCCTAGTATTAGCCCCATGACACCTTTTTTTATCTTCTAACTCAAATACAGACCATACGGATGTAAATGTATAGTATGTTTCACTCTCCTGAGTGTCTTTCCAAAACGATGGTGATTTGTGAGACCCAAGATACTTCAAACAAGATTGTTTTGAAATGCAGTTTTGAAAAGGCACCCTTTCATTGTTTAAGCCCAATCAAGTACGAAGACTGTTAGGACAACTAACTCGTGCCCTCCATTTCATCCATAAGATTCCCCAGTGAAATCACTGGCCTTCCTCAGACATATCAGAAGTCAGAGCAAATGTTCACAGCTACATAACATTTTGATTTTTTGCAAAGCACTGTAGAAGGTCTTAAACATTCGCCAGGCTTTCTTGGATCAAACATTCTGAAGTCGTATATGCAATCCTAAAAGGAGCTGCTTAATTGTTCCTGTGTCTGTCCTGCGATTGGTCTTCACTTCTTGCCGTATGTACATATGTAATTTTAATACCTTGATCTTCCCACAGCAATGAAAAGATCCTCTTCCATTTTCCTGATATTAATGGAGTGATCTGTCCTTGTATCGCTGACAGCTATGCTGCATAGTAAATGCTATGATCTTTTCTTACCTCCTGCCATCTGGGACCAGCTTTTCATACCCATTGAGTTGTCATCTTCATCTATCTATAACAATTACCCAAATCAGTGCTTCTAGCAGCTTGGCTTTTGTGGTTGTGTGTGTTTCTTTTTCAAGTCTCTTTATTCAGTGTATGTGGATGCTGAATAAGCCATCGTGAATCTCTGGCATCTATTCGTTACTGGAACATCACCATCCGTTGTGAAATTTAAGTGGCCAAACCGCTTGACTTCATCATTTTCAGTCTGGCATTGTTAGCATCCGCTGCTTACCAGGCTTCATCACCATTGTGTTTCTGTTTGGTTGGGTTTTTACAGTCAGTTGCAGACAAAGGCAAAACTAGCTTCAATCACAGAAATTACTGGGGTCTGTTCCAAAGACTCAGTAGTACTGATATGTAGAAAATCTTAAGATTGCCCAGCTTGCTTCTTCTGCTGTTGCTCTGAACAGGAGGTGATATAGAGAGTTGAACTCCTGTGCATCCCTTTTTGAGAGCATTATCTTGTTAGCTGTTAGCACAGTTAGTACAGTGCTTTCCTGATAGTATTTTCCAACCTGTTTATCTTCAAGGTGCTGGGTACTGTATGCTCCTTTGCTATCCAGAGATCTGGTATCCAAATGCACATCTGCATCTGCTTGTCTACTTGCTGCTTCTGCTTCCATCTTCTTCTTCATTTTCTCTTGGATAGCCAATTACAAATAAACCGTATTTTGTTTACATTAAAATGAAATACCATTATTTGGCAACTTGCATACAGTACAATGTTAGAAGTACAACAGAAATCCAGAATTCAAGCTTCCCAGCCTATGACTACAGGAGTAAGTTTCTATGAATGCACTATATTTAAGTGTTTTGGTGTAAATACCAAGCACCAGGACGATTATTACAATATTGGTATTTACTACTGTGTTTACAAAGAACCACAGTATAACTTAGATTGATCCAAAAGATGAGTTATGATTCAGAACCATTATGGGGAGTCCAGTCGCTGCTTCAATTTTTGCATTATTAAGAATATTAATATTTATAAATGAAATGAATGTATGCATATGTATGTATGAATCTATGTGTGGGCATATGTATATTTATGTAAAAAGGAAAGAGACATAAAACCAATTAAAACCTAAAAGACAGATGAAAGCCACCCCACAGTTCTTATAGTTCTGTTAGAAAAAAATGTGTTGCAACAGCTTCAAAAATACTGTGTACATACCATATAATGTGCTATATATCTTTTGGTGAAACTTCTGTTTCTTTTTTTCCCACAAGATTCGGTAGTTCAGTATGACTTATCTCTGAAAATAAGCATAGAGCTGATCTTGTTTGCTTTTTCCTCTATAGACTGATATGATACTAGCATAGCATATGAAGGGGTTCTTTCTGGCATCATTGACTTTACTGCAAATAGAAAAACAGATCAAAAAGTAAGAAAATGTCACACTCCTGAAGTGTAAATTATTTCGGTAAAGAAAAGAACCCACTGTTGATTTTCCCTTTCTTTCTTCCATTCCTTTCCCCCAGCTCTTTCTCTCCTTTGATCTTTCCCATCAAATTCCTTGTATACAGATAGCAAAATTATTTTCACCAGATAAGTAAGATCTGGCCATCGAAAGTTAGCATACATCAGCCTAGCCTCATCCATATCAGTGGAGCAAGGCCAGTTTAGCCTGTCTGTTGACTTGGCCCTTTATGTTGCAAGGTGAGACTCTTAATTCCTGATTCCAATTGAGTTTTTAAAAGTAAAATGGGGGAAAAAAACTATGTGATATCTGTTCTGCAGTGAGGAGCCTTGTAAACTTGAAAAAGATTATAGGGGAGAAAGTAAAATAAAGGGGTGACAAGGAAGTTAGATAAAAGCAAAAAGCAATTGAAAAATGCAAAAAAATTAAAAAATATTTCTAATCTGTATAAATTATATCCTTGTTCCTAAAGAAAGTCTCTGTGACCTTGATCCATAGACAGATCTATGTTTCTGTAATTTTAAATTCGAATATTCAATTTCTAATTCCCATTTAGGAATAAACAACCTCCTTTAATAAAATCACAGACTAAAAGCACTTCAAAATAATTTTCTTTGTCTCTTGCCTTAGTTTATTTAATGTAATGTACATTTGCTTCGTAATCAGCTGCACCATTGTATTGGAATGAATCCTCTGAGGTGCTGAGCATATGCTGCTCTCTGTGAAGTAAATACCATTTGCATATACTTAGCTCATGCTGATAGATAGCCTTTTTGTGATAGCTATTTTTGTTTAATATAGTTGGTTTTAACCATGATGTTTGTTATTTGGGTAAAAATTCAGTTGTCTTCTAACTCTAGGGCTGCTTTATTTTTTTAGTATTCCTGTCTGACTCTTGTTAGCTAGACCATTACAATAAAACAGATCTATATATCCATTCCTTACCCTAGGATAAATATCCACTTGTTCTGTTTACTGCTGCTCTGAAGCTGATCAGCTCATTTACCTACTCTCCATTTAGGGAATGAGCTTGCATTTTTTAAATTTCTTCTTTATGTTAGTAGCTTTGCTGCAGTTTTTTCCTGTAAGGTTATATTGAACAGAATCTTAAGAAAATCCCTTATCCAAGGCAGCCCCATGTCATGTTCAGGTTTGTTTTAGAACTCTACAGATACAATCAGCTGTATTATCAGAAAATTTGCCCAAAGAGTCTTAAACTTCTGAGCCAGATAGATGCGCAGTGTCGTACAGAGTAACAGACATGTACCTTTGAACACTGTCCAGAACTATTGAATCAATAGCCAAGACACACTCCAAACATACACTTGAGCTGGGTCCAATTTCCAATTATTTTCAAAGGCCCATTTATCATAGCATAATAGGCTCAGCTACAACACTAAGAGAAGGATTCTTGTAACATTTTGCAGATACAAGACAGTTTAGTTCAAATTGTCACTTCATCTAGAATTTCTTGCTTGGTGAATTTAAGTGAGGACTTTGGGGGAAAAAGGGAGGTAAAAGGGCTGGAACGACCCAATTAACTTTGCGTAGGACATTATGAAAATTCCTGTAACACCTGAACTGTGAGGATGGATACATAAAAATATTAACAGATATGGGATATACTGCAAAATAACTGTCTGTATGTTTATTCTTGATCAGTGATAAGAATAAGATAACTGGAAATAGCTAGTTCTCATCAAAAAAGAGCCTTATTATTATCACAGAATAACAGTATGCATCCAGCAGTTGTTTCAGGTGAGCTGGCAGTTTCCCTACCAGTTCTGTCTATGGATCTTACATCCAGTAAAATAAAATGGTTTAAAAGTCCTACTTTTCTTTCATTCAAGACTGAATCACCCTAAACTGCCTTGTGCTGTAAAAGCAAGTTGGTATGCATATTGACAGTGAAGTATCAAGTTGCTACTTAGGAATTCTATAGACTCAAAGAAAAATCAGGCAATTTCAAGTTCACCTGCTATTAAATGCGAGTAAGGCCATCTTTCATTAAATTTGGATTAAGAGCCTGTGCATAAGCAGTTACTTAAGAGCCACTGATGTGGTATTTCATTTCCCTGCATCAGAAAGACTTTCTAGGGTTTTTCCTTTGTTTTCAAGTAGGCAATCAGAGA